TACTTCCTAAAATTTTGAGGCAATTACCCCCAAAATCAATCCCAGCATTCCCTTTGTGATATGGAACCTTGTGGTACAATGTCAGAGAGATCCATACACTAACACACAAGTTATGTCTGGAAGTTACAAAAATGCTTATTTTTGGCCTCTTATTCCTTAACTGTTGGTACCATAACTCCCAAAATCAATCCCAACCTTCCTTTTGGGGTATTGAACCTTATGGTAAAATTTCATAGAGATCCATTCACTAAAACTAAAGTTAGAGTGCGAAAACCAATGTGTCTTCGGACGACGACGACGATGCCAACATCATACCAATATACGACCAAATTTTGCGGTCGTATAAAAAATAAACAAGTCTATTTATCAGTTAACCACAGATTGAACCTTAATGTTGACCCTGCCGACGATTGAATCTAGGATCGCTTTGTCTCGCTTTTGTGGAAAAAATAGCAGGCTCGACAAAAAGCCTTCTCTTTCATTTCTTTCTTTCTACACATTTTTCTGTTGAGATTTTTCTTATTCACTACTATTTTTAAGATATGGAACAATTATTTGCGCTAGTAATTATTTCTATATAAGTCATGGCGGCCATGTCGATTGATTGATCAATGTTTACATCACACACTAAAATCTGAAGAAACTTAGGATCCTTCATGTCAAGTTTGGTTCAAATTTGACAGTAGTTTCAGAGGCAAGGAACATTCAATATTTTTATTTAGTTCAATTTCAACATATATACTTGTTTACATTTAATCTGCCATGATAACCATAAGATTTCCACGGAAAAGGAAAGATGTAATTTATTTAGCTCTGTGTTAGTCCAAGATATCTACCCACTAAACAGCTTGGGTGGAGGAGAGCATTGTAAACTGTAAAAAAAAACTGAGTCCATTTATCAGTAAGCTACGGAAAAATGAAAATAAATTTGACAGTAGTGTCAGAGGCAAGGAACATTCAATATTTTTTATTATGTATTTGTTCAATTTCAACATACCGTATTTTCTGGAAAATAAAACGCACGGCCGTTTTTTGGGGAAAGGAGTGTTTCTTTCCTTAAATAAAATGCACCTGAATATAAAGCGCACCCCGATGAAAACGTACATGTGTTCTACTGACCTTAGTATAATGAATGTTCACTTGTTTTTGTAACTCACACTAACATGTTTCGTTTCTATTTTCACACTGGTGAGAAAGTTGAAAGGCATTTTGTACATATTTATTTGTTTCATATTAAAATAAATAAATGTGGAATGTGTCCATGGGACACAGATGATGCCCCCTCTTGCATATCATATAAAGTTGTAAAGGGACATAACTGAAGAGCAGGAAAAGTGACGCTACCCAAATTTGTACTTGATCTGAGTTTTGTGGTAATAAGTATTGTGTATAAGTTTCATAACATTTGGTTGAGACAAACTTAAATTAGTGAACAGAAACTTTGTAAAGGGGCATAATTCTAGAACAGTAAAAGTGACACCACCAAAATTCAAACTTGTTCTGTACTTTGTGGTAATAAGCATTGTGTATAAGTTTCATAACATTTGGTTGAGGCTAACTTAAGTTAGAGAATGGAAACGAAAAATTCAGCAATTTTTCCATTTGTTAAGGGGCATAACTCCAGGACGGTTAAAGTGATGCCACTAAAATTCAAACTTGATCTGTGTTTTGTGGTAATAAGCATTATGTACAAGTTTAATAACATTTGGTTGAGGCAAACTAAAGTTAGAGAACGGAAAGGGCATAACTCTAGAACAGTTAAAGTGAGGCAACCAAAATTCAAACTTGATCTGTGTTTTGTGGTAATAAACATTGTGTAGAAGTTTCATAACATTTGGTTGAGGCAAACTTGAGATGGACAAGGGTAAAACTTAATGCACCCTACGCTATGGCGGGGGCATAAAAATGTTAATAAAATTATTATACTTTTCTTATTGTTTTAATGACGCCAGATTCATTAGTTGTTGTTTTTTGTCAACCATTGCAATGTGTTGACAGCGTGTATGTCCATTGAACAGTTGTGACCTTGTTGTTTTGATTAAAATTAGTTCGGTGTTGATTGCTCGTTAATTGTTTGAATTGGGATCAAGTATTTTAATCATTCTTGAAAATGTATTCATTAAAGGTCACTCAAGCCATAAAACTGCCATTGTTTACCTTGATTATTACGTAAGTACCTGTAGCCACATGTTAACTGGTCACCCATGTCGGGAAAAAAATTTATCAAATTAAATTTGAAGAATTTTATTGTTGTCTATAAAATAAAAGTTTAAAGTTTATTAGCTCCAAATATTTTTCAATTTAAACTTGGTTGAAAACTACGAACAAAACCATTCAGTTTCTGCAAGTCATCGTCTATTTTTAACTGAAAGTGAGATGGACCACGGAAAGGGGAATTCAAATAAGACCGCCATATATAAATGTCTTAGCATATTAAATTATGAAAATTAATATTCTTTTTTTTATTTCATACATCTGATAATATGTGGTTACAATATTTCATAAAGCTATATTATTATGAAACACAATCAAACAACAAGCAGTTACTCCTCAATAGTATATCCTGTATGGTACCTCTTTTCAAACACACTTATCTTTCTTTGTTTATGAAACACTTCCAAGGGTTCATTTCAGCACATGGTTATCACCTTTGTCATTAAAAGAGACTTGGAATATTGGAAAGAAACACAATCACTTCCTTTATTATTCCATTAGATTTTATTTAAAAACACATTAAAACAACAAACAATGAAAGAACCTTAGTGAGCGCGCTCACATACCCCACGTTCCCACATTGTCACTGGGGAAATAAAATAACTGTTAGAAAAATAAATTGTATAAGAAAAAAAAATTGAATCATAATTTCCTGTTGATATGCACATCTACATAGTATGTCCTTATTATCTACAAAGTTTCATGAAATTCTGTTGTGTGGTTTGAGAGGAGTTGCGATGACAAAAGGTTGCAGTAGTATATAAGGCAAATAAGTTCAAAGGGGCGTAACTCCTAGAAAAAAAATTGAATCATAATTTCCAGTCGATATGCACAACTGCATAGTATGTCCTTATTATCTAAAAAGTTTCATAAAATTCTGTTGTGTGGTTTCAGAGGAGTTGCGATGACAAACTGTTGCAGAGGTATATTGAAGCAAATAAGTTCAAAGGAGCGTAACTCCTAGAAAAAAAATTGAATCGTAATTTCCTGTCGATATGCACATCTACTTAGTATGTCCTTATTATCTCAAAAGGTTTTATGAAATTCTATTGTGTGGTTTGAGAGGAGTTGCGATGACAAAAGGTTGCAGTAGTATATTGGGCAAATAAGTTCAAAGGGGCGTAACTCCTGGAAAAAAAATTGAATCGTAATTTCCTGTCGATATGCACAACTGCATAGTATGTCCTTATTATCTAAAAAGGTTTCGTGAAATTCTGTTGTGTGGTTTGAGAGGAGTTGCGATGACAAGAAACAGGACTGACGGACGGACAGACGGGTCAAAAACATTATACCCATCGCAACTTGTTGCGTGGGGTATAATTACATCTTTATGGTAAATACACAATCTCATGTATGGTACCTCTTTAAAACACGGTTATCTTTCTTTGTTTATGTAATGAACACATGGTTATCAACTTCGTTAAGACCAACAATAAAATAAATAACAAACGATAAAGTAAATATATTTATTCATAACAAAATATGCCAGATGAACAATTTATCAAGTCACTGCAAGCACTTGACAATCTTCTGACGGTCTCCATAAAAAAAATCAAAGATATTTTTTTTCACGCTTGCCCTGAAACACTGAAAAAAATACATACATAAAGCGCACATGAGCATAACACGCGGGGAAAAAGACAGAGAAAAGAAGCCAAGGTTTTTTTAACAAATTTAACGGTATATACTTGTTTACATCTAATCTGCCATGATAACCATAAGATTTCCACGGAAAAGGAAAGATGTAATTCATTTAGCTCTTTGTTAGTCCAAGATATCTACCCATTAAACAGCTTGGGTGGAGTAGAGCATTGTAAACTGTAACAGTTCTAATTGGGAATAAGGAATATTCAGATTGGAAAGGGATTGAATGTGAAGGTAAGAAGCCCAAGCAGATATATATCAAAATTTACATATGCCCTGTCTGATGGAAACAAAGAACATAAGAAAATATCATTCTGAAACTTAAGGCTCCTAGGAACCTGATCAGCTCATTTGGCAAAAGAATGTCATATTGATAGGTTTTTTTCCACAATTTTGCCAACAAATTTTCCTTCCAGGTAAAAAAAAACCATTTTTCAAATATAAAGTTTTCAGGTGCACTTAATTTGACATGGCCACTAATGTAGTGATAGTATCATATTTCTCATACATATATATATTTACAAAAATCAGGATAAAAATAGCATATTTTTACAATACCTTATAAGTGTGCCCCTTTGCCTTTTTTACTTGAAAGAATATTCTCTGTTAGATAGTTCTTATTTAGTTCTATTTTCAAGATATAAAACAATTGTCTGCATTTACTCCTGGTGGCCATGTTGGTTGATTGATCAAAGTAACAAAAAGTTGGGTTTGAATAGTTTTAGAGGTAGGAACAATAAGTACAATTTCAATTTACATGCATATACTTGTTACATCTTATCTGCCATGATAATCGTAAGATTTCCACGGAAAAGGAAAGATGCAATTCATCTAGCTCTGTGTTAGTCCAAGATATCTACAAATTAAACAGCTTGGGTGGAGTAGAGCATTGTAAACTGTAACAGTTCTAATCAGCAATAAGGAACATGTTCATATTATCACACTGGCAAGAGATCAAATGTGCAGGAAAAAAATCTCAAGCAGATATATTATAATTGACATATGACCGGTCTGATATACTTGAGGATGCTTGTCCGACTCATAGAATCTATAACTTTATTTAGAAGAACCTTCAATTTGAGTGTTTGACAAATAAAATTATTGTTCCACATGTAGTCTATAATTACTCAAAGATGAGTTACCTGTGATATTTCTTCAGGGGTGGTTACTTGTTTTGACATTGATTTGAGGTGAGCCACTGCAGCATCTACAGCCATCATAACTCCTGTTAAAAATATTCACATTCATTAAAAAAAAAAATGTTCATATATGTAATATACTTATATTTTGCATTTAAAATGAAACCATCTACTGATAGAAAAATGTTCATATGACATGGCAGAAGAATATACAATTACACTAATAAACTAGAAGCTCTAAAGAGCCTGTGTCGCTCTGACACCTGCATATTTAACAATGGCCACTTTTTAGTAAAAATCATCATTGAAGGGGAATATCTCTATTAAGAGCTAACTGAAAATTTCAGTCACGTGGCATATTTGTAGATCTTATCCTGCTGATAATTTTTCCTGTTCAAAGTTTCTATTTATCTATTATAGTTTTCAAACTAAATAAGAAAAAAACGTTAAAAATTATCATGAAAGGGCAATAACTCCAATAATGAGTCGACTGAATTTTGGCCATTATGGCTTATTTGTGGATCTTGTCTAGCTGATCACTTGTAAAAAAATGTTAAAATCGTCATTATAAGCGAATCACTCTAATTAGGAGACGACTGAAGATGGCAGCCATGTTGATTTATTTGTAGCTTTTGTCTTGCTGATCATTTTTGCTAATCAAAGTTTCTATCTATCTACTTAAAACAAGGAATTAATTGAATCTGGAATAATTATATATTATGGAATATGAAATGATTTTGTGTATGTTGTTCTAAGCCTTAGTTATAAAATAAAATTCACAAACAGTGATGACTATTATGAAGTTATTACCAAAAATTATTATCTTCAAATTGTCATGCAAATATATGATTAAGTCTGTAATTGATGATGATCTAACCCCAAGCATGGCCAACCCTTAGTTGGAATTAATGAAATATATTATTACAGTTCAACTAACCCTTAGCCATGCGTGCATGGCTAACCCCCTTAGTTGGACTAAATGAAATATATCATTATTATTGAACTAACTCTTAGCCATGCGTGCATGGCTAACCCCCTTAGTTGGACTATATAAAATATGACATTATTGTTGAACTAACCCTTAGCCATGCATGCATGGCTAACCCCCTTAGTTGGACTAAATGAAATATATCATTATTATTGAACTAACCCTTAGCCATGCGTCCATGGCTAACCCCCTTAGTTGGACTATATAAAATATGACATTATTGTTGAACTAACCCTTAGCCATGCGTGCATGGCTAACCCCCTTAGTTGGACTTCAAAATTTTTTTGGGGTAAAAATTCAAAAAAAAAAAAAAAATTGAATTTAAATGCAAAATTACCCAAAAAATAAAATTTTGATAAAATTCAAAAAAAAAAAAAAAAAAAAAAATTTCAAAAATTTGAAGAAAAAAATAATTTTTGGCAAAAGTCACCCATTTTTTTTTTTTTTTTGGCAAAAGAAAAATAAAAACAAATTTTGGCAAAATCCCCCCTAATTTTTTTTTATCAAAAATTTCCCCCAAAAAAGTCACCTTAGACATGCATGGTTGCCTGCTAACCTATATTTTCACATGAGTGACTTACCTTTATCCAACCAGTAGATTAATTTCTAGATGACTCCAATCTATGCATACCTTACTTGTTCTGTATTTTTTACAAATGATGAACTTTGTTGGATGCACAATTTTAAATACATCATTGCTGTAGTTATAATGTGTTTGTAAATTGAATACTAATTTTAACCTTTATCTCTGCTACTAAATACTTTGTAGTGCTAATTTTTCAACTAAATGCATGTTTTCTATGTTTCTATATCTGCCTTATTTTGCTTTGCATGCCTTGCTCACATATACTGTATAATGCATCACACTTGTAATCCTCTATGCACCTTTTGACTATTAATCATCCTCTGTAGCATGCTTATCTGCTTGTAACATAGCTTCAAGGTGAGTGGTGTTGTATGATCTGACATATTAGTCATTAACCAGGCAACCTCAGTACAGGGGACCTGGAGGTCCAGATAAGGGGGCATATTTACAATGTGTGAATGAAAGATAATTGTCCTTTAATTTATATAATACTATTTTGAAAAACTGGACACCATTTAAAGCATGAATTAATTCATGAAGCTACTTTTTTTATGTGACACGTAAATCTTCCAAAATACTGGGTTTCATACAAACATAAGATGGGGTATGATTGCCAATGAGACAACATCTCCACCAGTGAACAAATGACTAAGAAGTAAAATATAGCTAGGTAATCAACATAGTTTCTGGATCTAAACCTTCTCTCTTCTTAACCTGGGACAGTTGTGTAACAGTTAAACGTAAGAAGTAAACAGTAAGAATAAGCTGAAAAGAGCTGCACTCATCCAATTGATACAAAGCACATTAAAGACCTAACAAATACTCAAAAGTCACAAAGTACAGTTCTGAGAGTACTCTGTTACTCAGCTCTGTCAAATCCAATATCAACTTATAACAAATCCATGTTTTTCAAAATCAGAATATAAACTCTGCTAAAATTTATAAACTTTATAAGATATCTTTTTAAATAAATAAGATATCGTATATAGTTTATGAGATATCTTTTAAAACATACTTTATGAGATATGTTGTAACGTATATATGATATCTTTTATTACTTTATTCTATATGTTATTAACTTTATAAGATATGCTATATTATTGGCTTATCAGATATCTTAATTAATTAATCAAATGCCTGATTTAGTAAAGAAGATATCTTATTTAATTTATATGCTTTCTAATTTAGTTAAAAAGATATCTTCTTCAGTTAAAAATATATCTTATTTAGTTAAAGAGATATAATTTTAATTTTGTAAGATATCTTGAAATTGAATAAAAAAATCTTATTTAGTTAAAGAGAGATATATTTTTAACTTTATAAGATATCTTGAAAATTGAATAAATATAAAAACAGCTTGCCATAGATATATCTTTATTGTTTTTTGAGGAACTAATTTTAATTAATGATCATACCTAAATAAGTTTAAAGTGAATAGTAACACTATTCATCAATTACAATTTACATGCTAAGAAACAACAATATGCAAATTGATAATGAAATACATGTATTTTATTATGACATACATATACATGTCATAAAAATATAATTATTTTAAGATTGACAGTATTGTCAACATGAATCATATTTGGAAATTAAGGAACTGAGGTTTCCAAACATCAATTATTTACACCTTCATATTACACTATCAGTATACTCATTAACAATAAGAACAAACAAACTTTCATTTCAAGTATCTTTTTTGATTCAGAATATAAAAAACATGAAACATGAGACTCTGGGATTTTATTGACTTTAAGGATGTATTTAGATCAGGTTTAAGAATTTCTGTCAGATGTTTGGACTCCTTGCTTTTTTTCCTATAATACAGGGTAAAATAGTTTTCCCCATACCACCCATTTTTCCTTTTATACAAGACTTCAATAGGTCTGAAAAGATCATTTACCAAAATTAAAGCAGATTCTAGATTTCTTTTCTTTCTATTTGAGACCAAAATAATACCACTGCAAATATAAGGTAATAGTACAAGTCTTTTCCCGCCATTTTTAAAAAAAATTGAATATCTTGAAAAGGAATTCCATAACCTACCAATATCCTAAGTTTGTTTTGTTCCTTATCTATGCTCTTCTGACTTATAGTATCAACTTCAATTTCTATATTTTTAATTAGCATCCTGAAGCTAGTTAAATAGCATTTGTTTTAATTTTCATTTGTTAGTGTGTTCATTTAGGGCATAACAACACACCCAAACAACACTTCATCAAACACCAATAATTAAGATTCCTTAATAGCATAAATGTAACTACTACATAACAATTGATGGTACATATATGCATATTTAACAGAATTTTAAAAACAAATAAAATGCTCCGCAGGGCGCAGCTTGATACGACCGCAGAGGTCGAACCCTGAACAGTTGGGGCAAGTATGGACACAACATTCAAGCTTGATACAGCTCTGAATTTGGATTGTGATTAAATATTTGACACAGCATAGGTTTCTGACACAGAATGAATGTGGTCTAAGAACTTAAAATTTTTTAATTGGACATTCACCTATTATGGTCCAATATCCAAAATCTAAATACATGGTTAGATTCAGCATATCAAAGAACCCCATATATTCAATTTTTGTTGAAATCAAACAAAGTTTAATTTTGGACCCCGATTTGGACCAACTTGAAAACTGGGCCCATAATCAAAAATCTAAATACATGTTTAGATTCAGCATATCAAAGAACACTAAAAATTCAATTTTTGTTAAAATCAAACTAAGTTTAATTTTGGACCCTTTGGACCTTAATGTAGACCAATTTGAAAACGGAACCAAAAATTAAGAATCTAAATACACGGTTAGGTTTCGGCATATCAAAGAACCCCAATAATTCAATTTTTGATGAAATCAAACAAAGTTAAATTTTGGACCCTTTGGACCTCAATGTGGACCAATTTAAAAACGGGGCCCAAAATCCAAAAACTTAATACACAGTTATATTCAGCATATTAAAGAACCCCAAGAATTCAAGAATAAAACCCCATTGAAATTGATCAAGAAATAAGCAATTTATAAGAAGTATCTTCTTTTGCACAATACTGTGCAATTGAATATTTCTTGCTATTGCGCAATACTGTACAATTGACAATTTCTTGCTATTGCGCAATATTGTGCTATTGGATATTTCTTGCTATTGCGCAATACTGTGCAATTGAAGATTTCTTGCTATTGCGCAATACTGTGCAATTGAAGATTTCTTGCTATTGTGCAATACTGTGCAATTGAAAATTTCTTGCTATTGCACAATACTTATTATATAAAAATTTACACATCCTTTTTGGTGTGTATCTCCTACCATATCATTATTATTTGCTTTTAAATATAAATCAGAAATAACCAACTTAAAATGGAAAATTTTAAAAGAAAAAAAAAAGGAAAAAAAGAAAGAAAAAAAAAAAATCCCCCCCCCAAAATTTTTGAACCCCCTTATGATTCATCACCCCCAAACTCAATCCCAGCCTTCCCTTTGTGGTATGGTACCTTGCAGTACAATTTCA